GTAGGAAGGGGGAGGGATAAAAAAACTACATATTGGGTACAATGTATAGCAATGTGCATCTTTACCCTTCAGGCAAAGGGTGCACTCAAATCTCACACTCTACCACCTTACACTTCATCCACGTAACCAAAAACCATTTATACACCAAGAGCTATTGAAATAAAAAATAATTTTAAAAAAGGAATAAATAGTGGTTACAAGATTAAGTTTTGGAGTCTGTCACTTAGTAACTGAGGGACCCTTGGAAAATTCTTTAATCTCTCCTGGCCTCCATTAACTCCTCTGAAAGAAAACAAAAGGCTGGGGGCAGAGGCAGCCCATGATGGCAATAGTGTGTACTTTACAAGGTTATTGTAATGGTTAAATGAAATAACATAGACCAGGTACTTAGCAAAGTCTGACACGGAGAAAGTGTCCAATTAATGGTAGATATTATCATTCTACTTATATTTTATTATCTCTGGGCCTGCTAACAGACCTCTCGCCAAGCAACAAGTTCTGGCACTGCTTCAGGGAGTAACTTGTGGCTATATTATGCCTTTACCTTGTAGCTAACTTATTCTCTTCTTCCCAGGAATAAAATAAAATGGCATCCACTACAATTGCTAATGGCATCTCATCTCTTTTTCCCAACCTTTTTCTCTGTCAAGAATACAACCCTGTACTAATCTTTGGTGTTTTTCTTAGACCTTTATAAGCAATCAATAATCAAGGCTTAGAAATTATCTTTTATTCTACCCTATCTACATTTAGGTCTGGTTCCCATAACCTCCCTTCTGCAATAGCCTGCCAGCTAGTTATTCAACTTTAATCAATTCCCCTACTTCACACTAGTCCATTTGGAATAAAGATGTCTTAAAAGCATGTCTCAATATTTCCATAATAGCATTCTTCTTTTAAAACAATTCTTTAGTGATTTGCCATTGTCTATTTTCACCTTCAACCAACCCTATGAGTACTATAGTCATAGTCAGTCCTTAACTTTGGGGATCTTTTATTCTATAAAGTTGATGATGAGCTGATCATCTAACTCAATTTGCTGGAATATCATAAAGTCAATGCCCACAAATGATGAACAAAGAATACTTTTTCCAGACTATCTTCTCATCTACTCAAAGACAAAGCTCTTTTCATCCCAATTTTATTTTTTTGAAACTCTTTTTTATACTCTGGAAATTTATTTTAAAATTTGCACATATTTTTAAAACAATCTTAAGCCTGATACCTTACATAGAGTCCATATGTCTAGATACCCTTTTTTTTAAACTTAATTTGCTTTATTAAAATAGAAAAATTCCCAGTAAGCAAATGACAACCTATATTCACTGAGTAAATATTTTATTGCTCAAACAATTAAGAATTTTAACTGGAGCTGTTAATGTGTGATATTTTGGCTATAAGTGAAATAAATATTTGCATTTTTATAGATTATGAAGTATTTATTTAACAAGGGTCTTATCCTTACTACGGGCTAGGAATTGTTCTATGCACTTAACAAAGATTAACTCATGCCACACATGTAATAACCCTATAAAGTCCTATTATCATCTTTATGTCATCTGCGATAAAACTGAGACTAAGAAAGCTTAAGAAAAGTGCCCAAGGTCACATGCTTGATTAAACATCCACTAGAGTCACCACTGGCAAAGATGTGGTAGAGTTAAACCAGCTATAAAAGTTATAAACCTTTCTGAATTTTGTTTTCATTTTCCTTCTTGTATAACAATGTAGTGTCCATCTTGACATGTGTAATGAGTATTTCATTACTAAGAATAACTGGTATTGGCAAAAGGTCATTTAAAATGAGTCCACCTAAAACCCAGGCCAAATTTTCATAATAAAAAGTTTTTTTAAAGTTTCACTGAGACTTTATCTTGCAAAACTGAACCTAACTTATCTTATAATGAATATAATTTAGGGTAAAATTTTAATTTTAATTCAATATAATTTAGGGTAAAAATTTTAAATCAGTATAATTTAGGGTAAAATTAAAATTTATTTGACTCAATTATATTGATTATAATTTAGTCACTTAGTAACTGAGGGACCTTAAAAAAATTATTTAGTGACTAAACTGTTTTTAGAAAAATGCAAAACGAACCAAATGATGAACTGGGAATGAGTATGCTTTCTCTGAGAAGAAAAAAAGTTATGATAGCAAAATACAACTCCTTTCCAATGCACATTCAATGTAGCAACATAATTATAAAGCTTTTATTTTGCAAAAGAATATTAAAAAAATTTCAACAATTTTTCTAATCCTTTCAAATTATACTCTTTTGAAAGATCTAGCCATCAAAATCCTTCCCAATTTCCTCTTTTTAAATAGTGCATGAGTCTAACTCTATCAGATCTTTGTTTTTTAAGGATTCACAATCCCAACTTCAACTAGCAAGAGAGTTTGCCTTGTATCTGCACTTGCATATCATCAGATCAATATCGAACAAGCTGACATCCATACACATAATAATGCAATGGGCAGAGGCACACGTTAGTACTAGAGTAGGATGTTTGATGGGAAATTCATTTAGAAGAAGTCAGTTCATTAATGAATATTTTGATATAGACAGCCTTTGTCTTCTGTTTTTTAAAGCAAGTTCCAAACTACAGAGATTCAGAAAATAATAAAGTGAATTTGAGGATCTGTTCTTTTCACTTTAAGGTTAATGACTCACTTTTGTTGACAGGTAGTAGCATATATATTTGTAAGTATAGGTACCTTTTCTACATATGCCCGCAAAGCTTTGTAGAGAAGCATGAGAACTCTTACGTGATATGACGTGGTCTATGTACTGAGGTAAGTAAGGAGCCCAGGCATCGATGGCTTCCTTCCTGCCTGCCTGCTCAATTCTTCTCAGTTCCGCCAGAAGCAGGGCCTGCGCGGCTTCTCTTACCTAAGATCACAGACCCAAACGTAAAAGTAGAAAGCAGATTAGTTGAGGAGATGAATATTTATAAACTAGAAAATTTATAATGAAATAAAAGCTAGAAAACATAAAAACCATATTTATTTACACGAAAAAAACTATTAACTGAATGAGTTAACTACTTAAAAATCAGATGCTAGCCAATCATCAAAGACATTTTCATTAATGATTTCACTGAAAACTATTTTAACACTAATGGAAAGAATTAGGTTTCAACAATGTAATCATCTTTGGGGTTAAAACTTCATTTTCCAAAGCATTCTTGAACTTTAATGTAGCATTTTACTTTTAAATTTTCTATATTAACATTATCGTTAAGACACTGTGAAAGCTATTAATTTTTTTTTTAGCTTGAAGAAAGTTAACCTTATCTATTAAATTCTTTATATTATATATGCTAAGTAGATACTATTTATACAAACAAATACGTATAAGTTAACATGATTCACATATACCTAAGACATGCTTAAACAATGTTTTTGACAAATAGATAAATATTCCTGTATAAAGGCATAACTTCTTTTACTTTTATAGGGGAAATCATTTTTCAAAATTATATATTTTTCTTTCAACGTAGCATACAACTTTCATTTTGCAGTTTTAACTTAGTTTTATTTTGGCAAAAATGCCACAGGCATGAAGTCAAAAAAGTTGGTCAATTATTAAATGCTGTACCAATTTATTAACTCTTTATTTTCTGAGACCAAGTGTTACCTTGTCGCCCAGGCTGCAGTGCCATGGCATGATCTCAGCTCACTGCAACTTCCACCTACCGGGCTCAAGTAATTCTTGGACCTCAGCCTCCCAAGTAGCTGGGACTACAGGCGTGTGCCACCACGCCCGGATAATATTTTTTGTATTTTTAGTAGAGACAGGGTTTCGCCATGTTGCCTAGTCTGGTCTCACCCACCTGGGCCTCCCAAAGTGTTGGGATTACAGGCATGAGTCACTACACCCGGCCTATTTTAACTCTTTATAATTGAAAAGATAACTTAGCAGCATCTAGATAAAAGTTCCAGTAAAAAAGTTGTTTTTAGGTATGTGACTTCTGAAGTGAATTCAAAATACTATTCAATGAAAACCCATGAAAATGTCAGTATTCTGCAATCTCACTTGGAGTTGAGGGGAGAAAGTCCAGGAAAGAAGCAATTATATTACTCGTACTTATATTTGGAAAATTAAGAATCCTGAATAATATAAACTGCTATGGCTATAAAGGTCAAATGCCATAATAAGGAAAATCTTTACTAAACATTTCCAAGTCCTTGGTAATATTATATTCCAAGTAATATCTCATACAGAATAACGCCATTAACACAAAATAATGGCTACCATTTATTGAGCTCCTACCATGTGGCACGTACTGTACTTCCTGTTTTACTTGCACCATCTGATTTGATCCTGATGGCAATCCCATGAGGAATATATTATCATCCCCACTTTACAAATGAGCTTTAAATAGGTTAAGTAAATTGCCCAGGGTCACAAAGTTAATAATTGGTGGGACTGATATTTAAACCCAGGTGTCTTCTAATTCCAAGGTCTCCTTTTACAATAACAGTACCTTTCACTGAAATATGGCAATTCAATTAGAACTTAATTTATGTGATCACACTGAGTGTGTAATTTTGGGGGAAGCAGGCTTCTGTATTTGTTTATGCATCTGTACAGAAATCAAACCAAACTTAAGAAATAGTTCCATAAGTATATAAGACTTCATCAAACAGTCACTGAATTCTTTAAAAGTAAACGAATAAACCAGCTGGAGCATTACTGGTTGGTATAAAAGCTGACAAAGAAGAAAACATACATCATGAATCCACATTTTGTATCACATAATGAACAGATGATAAATCAGATAAACATTAATCGTTTTTGTTTCAAGTTTACATTTGACCAATGCCTTTTAAATATTTTTGTTTTCTATCCTTATCACTCAGCATTACCTCCAAGCATCGATCTTGCCATCTTCGGGCCAGCATCTCCAGAAGGGGAGGCCTAAATTTATCCAATCCCAGTAGGTCTGGCAGCATAACACAGTGCATAGCAGCTAACTGACTCCAACCTGTCAAAAATGTAACACATTACAAATACTTTAACCATTTTGGCATTCCCTAAGTCAACAGTTCTTTACGTAAGGATACCAAAAACAAAAAAAGGCAGATCTGCTAAGTTATATTACAAATGATTTCAATTTAATAGTAGACATTTTGTGCAAAGAATTATACTAAATGTATTTCATCCCTAAATCATGTAATTGGTGCCGATAAGAATTCTCAACATCTTAAAAGGAATAAAAATAAATTTCCACAGGAAGTATATCCAAATTCACAAGAAAAACACATTTCTTAACAGTTTCTCTAAAATAGAATATATATTAAAGAATGGTAAAACCCAGAAATAAACACATACTAGAGCTATAGATTTGAAACCACTGTCAGTTAAAAGGGCATTCACACAGATATCCAAAGATAGGTTCATGTCACTTAAGGCATGGCCATCTGTGTGTTACCACTGTGTCAGCCAAAAGAGATGTCTTCCCTTTCTGTCAGAGGACCTCTTATTAAGGGACTTATCCCTTTTCTTACAAAGCGAATCAGATATTTAATCACAATCATAACTGATATAAGTAACATAACTCCCAATTTTGAAAGAAAAAAAATGAATTCAGACATTCCACAAAATAAAAACCTAACAATTCAAAATTTACAAAATCTTAAACATTGTTAACCCTGATCTATGAGAATAAAAGTGACTTTTTCTAAAATTCTAATTCACAATATGGAACTTGATAATAGGAAAAAAAGACAAACACTGTATGCCAGTGCAACATACAAAAGTATTAGATAACAGACATTCCCAAATAGTCACTCCAATATAATAAATGAAGTATTAGATAACAGACATTCCCAAATAGTCACTCCAATATAATAAATGAAGTATTAGATAACAGACATTCCCAAATGATCACTCCAACCCCATTTTAAAGGTATGTGAAAATACATATACAATACATGCCTCATTCTTACCAAATTATCGATGAGGCCACTATTAACCCATGATAATTACCATTACCTCCTAGGGATAATATTTAAAGACAAGTAATCAATGATGGATGCACAAAAAAAAAAAAAAGTCTGCTATCGTGTTACAAGGTGAATTATCTGTGAACATAGAATTTTAGCAAATCAGTGTTTTGAAATAATCTAAACTGTAATCTTCTTAAAATAATGACAAAAACCTTACCATAGAATTTTAAATTATTGGAATTGTTAAAGAGAATGAATGAGAGAGGCAGACAGACAGACTGACAAGCCACTTATTTAAGATTCATCCTTTCAGTGAGGAAATTCTCATCAACCAACAATAAACATGTAATTATATTAATGAAGGTGATGGGATAAGTATAAAGTGTATTCGTGAGCTAAATTTTAATATATGATGACTCTCACCAAGGTCCAAACAGCTTATTTTTTGAATTAACAAATAGTGTAACAAACATGAGCCTAATTATTTTTGCTAAATTTCGGTCTTAACATACAAACCTTAGTAAAGTTCTATGACAAGGAAACAAAAAATGAAGTGATACTTTTAAGTTCCCATGTTTTCTTTCCAAAGGAGTGGTGCTTGCAACATGGGCTCTGTACTTTATGGACATTTCAAGATTCCTTCCATTTGAATGGACTAGTAATATTACTTTTTCATGAAGAGCTAGGTCTTTCTGTTATATTTTTGATTTTGAAAATTTCTTCCTTTTTATGTGATGCAAAGTGGTAACTACAAACGCAATGAAGACAGTGGATATAACTCAGAGCTCACAGGTTTCATTAAGCTTCCAGGCAGTACAAATAATCCTAGATAGGTCTTATGGAATAAAGATTTGTAGGTCCCATTCCCACTTTCAGGGCTCCAAAAATACTTTCAACTTGTGTAACTCCACATAGATAACATGGTAGCCCAACTTCACCTTAAATGCTAAAATAATGAATTTTTGCCTGAGCTCAAAACAGAAATAGTAAGGAGGATAAATAGGTAAATTCCTATCAGTCTGTAATCACGGGTGCCAATAATCAATCTGAAGACTTTTTCAGTGAGAATGTTAAGAAACTCCCTCATAACTCCCTCTAACTAGCAACGCAATTGTGAAAATACAGCAAAGTGTATCTGTTACCAAGTAATGATACATATAAAATAAATTCATTAGCTCTAATGCCAGAGTTCACATGGCAAACATCATCACAAAAACCAATCCACCTTTAACACTGACTTTACATCAAAGATTGGCATCTCTGCACTTAACAGTATTCTAGATTATAGGAAACACGGATTATGCCAGCCAGGGTTAACATTACATTTTTATAACTGGCTCTTGTCATTGACATTAGCAAATAAAGTCATAAAATGGGAACTTTAGAATCTCATACATAACAAAGCAAATGAATGTGTAACTCAGATAAAAAGAACATGTCTGTTAGAATAAAGCACAGATTGAGAGAAAGTTGTTAGAAGTTGAGAGAGATACCTTCATTTACTAAGAAACAGGTATGTAAAGCAGGAGCAGAAGCAGGGTCAGAGCCAGAGTGATCAGCATCAGACCGAGCGGAAACGACAGGTGCAGCAACTTGCAGAGGAAAAGAGAAGAAATAAAGAGGAGAGAATTGAAGTACAGCAGTTTCTGAAAAAAAGCTTAGTATTAGTGAAGAATGAAAAACAAAGTTGGCAAAACATAGAGAATGTAGAACTGAAACGATGTTTTCATCAGAAGGGCATGATCATTAAAGATTACATCAGAAAAATGATATATTTTATTGAACAGTAATCACGATATAGTTCAAATTCCTCTTAAAGTCAAAATCTAATATTCTGATGAATGTATTGACTAATGCAAAACATAGCTCTAAAACAACTAAAGCCATCATGAAAAAATGACATTAAAAATTAACCAAAATGTTATTCAATTTTTAAAATGTATCACATAATGAAAAAGCTTTATGTTGGTCTTCATATTGTCAGTTACATTTTTCTAATAGTTTATTCTCTGACATTATGTGTAAATTATTTTTAAATTTTCAAACCAATATTCACTGAGATCATTTCAACTTTTTACGCTTATTTTATGAAAACTCAATTTAAAATATCCCAACTTGCAAAGAATGTATATACCATGTTTAACTCTTGTTAAAAGAATACTAACAGGTTCACTCATTGGACTTTTTAAAAAAAATTATTTCACAAATGCTCCCTATACTAAAAAAGAAATTTGTGAATTTTATAATTCTTGTAGAGGTACCGACTCACTCCCTAACCCCCTAAAAAAGTTATATTGCCAAGAAAGTGTTTCAGCTTAAATTATCATATGAAAAAGCAAAAGGACCGTATGGCACACACATTCTACAACTGGAGGTCAATGTTAAGATTTAGAGGTCACCATTGGACACTTCCTTCCTATGGCGAAATTACCATATGTCATGCACAAGCATCTTCAAATTAATCCCTCTCCTTTCTTCTGTCATTGAACAGCAATAGGTTTGGGCTCCTGAACAGATTAAGCATTGTCTGCTGAATGATATGTTTGCTTTTCATGCAGTGAAGTTCTTTTGTGACAACAGAACAGCTGCATGAAAACAACATTTTCATAATTTCCACACGAATGCATCATAATGTCAATCAGGCACGTGTGAGGTAAACAGCAGAACGAAAAGAAGTCTATGAAAAGTAACACAAAAAGCAACTCTAACTCCATAAACCCTTAGAAGCACGTCTTGCACAAATGAAAGTTTCATCTGGGAAATTATAATTCTTTATTATTTTAAGAGATCTGATTTTTGCTCCTTATGAAATTAAAATTATTTTACAATGTTATACTTATGAAAGAAATAGAGCTGCTTTTAATTCTATATTTCATAAGATCTACAAACTCCATTACAAATTAATCTTGCAAAGAAATCCCAAACATTTCTATATTCCATGGAATACTTTTATTTTTTATCATTTTTAATTACAAATTCAGTGATTATGACTTATAAATTATTCATCCTCCATGCAAAACATTGGTAAGCCTTGGCAGCCAGGAGTAAATTTGCAGGTTTTAATTTTTGTTCTACCAAAATGTTTCTCTGGTGGCTTCAGTTAGGACTTTTCTATAATTTCACTTTTTCAAAAATGGGGAGAAATTGTTAGCCCTGGAAAGGCTGTGTTAATTTTGCATGGTTTTTCATTCTGAAAGGACAATAGAATGAGAGGGTGAGGAAATTCCATACAAATAAATAAAAGTTTAGGATTGAGTGCTCATTACCTAACACAGGTCAAATAAGTGGTGGGATTAATGATGTAAGGAATAAGTATAAAAGGAAACTAGAAATGTTACTGGCAGAAATGCTAGAATAAGCATATGTCCTAATAGAATATTGTTTAACATACATAACTATTATTAAGGAAAGAAAAAAATCGATTCTGGATATTATATTTTTGAAGTCATATTTAAATGATATTTCATTTAGACAAAAAGGCATTTACACTCATCCTTTAATAAATTTTATGGGCACTAAAATTCAAGAAAAATATTGTAATAGAAATCAAGGATCAGATTTACCATGCTTTAAATATCTCTGCATCTCCACCAAAAAATACTTTATTCACACTACCTCACAACCGAAATCGCAAAATCTAGAGCACTTTCAAAATTCATCAGGAAATTAAACTCTGCTACAGCTTTCCCAACTATTTACATAAGAAAAATCAGCAATTAGCAGAAAAAATTATTACTTCCAAGATAAAAAGCTCAAGATTTAATAAATTATAAATCTGAAGTTTCATGGGGCACTGAATATGGAAGATTTACACCATAAAACATAATCAAGCATTTGATTTCTTAACAGAAAAGCTGCTACGTCACCTATCAATTTGCTGCTCTTATTAAGGATTAGCAAAACATAAGGGAAAACAGTTTTAGCACAGTTTCAACATAGTGACAGAACTAACACAGTTCCATTACTTTATCTGAGCCTCTTCAACTGCTTAGTCTCATAAGAAAAGACAGGTGAAGATAAACAAACATGTGGGAGAACATGTATATGCACACATCTGCCCTGGCTTCCCATTACACAGCACATACATACCCAATATTATAACATCCCTAGATTCTGCTTTTCAACAGGAATATTTCAGTTTTTAATTGAAATTTGATTCTAAACTCCATTTGAATTTGATTCTAAACTACTCCCATTGTGATAACAATATTTATAGGACAGAAAGTTAACATACTTCGGGTGGTAAGTGCTCCATACATACTGGTCTAAATCACATTATTTTCCTAGCACATATACACAAGTAGCCCTTTTCAATACATTTTTCAGAGAAAAAAAGTTTTAAGTACAAAAAAATGCAATGCTTTAAAAAGTAAGTTTTTTTCAAAGCTTAATACTAAAAAAAGAATAAAATGATTTAATGATGAGTCCTTTTAAAGTATTTCATGGTAATCATGATGTCACGGGGAGGGTGGGTGAGGGGAGAGAAGAAGAAAGAGAAGAAAGAGATGAAAGAGAAAACATGAAAAAATCAGAAATTAAGAAATGTTGTAGAATTAACCACCATGTACTTAACATAAAGGCATTTGGCACTGAGTCTGCATCTAGTCCAGATGTTATAAAGCAACATTTGGCTTTTTGTAAGTTTTCTTTTGTGTCAATACTTTTATGTTGTAGGTAGATGGCATTTTAGCCATCTTTTAAATCAACATGAAACATTTGGATAAATCATTAATTCAGCTTTCATTGCCTCTTTTTTAATGCCTGACTTTTTGAGGTACAAAATTAGATAATGCAACAACCTGTTTCATTATGCATAATGTATCATATCTCCATGCTTCACAGAATTGCCATAATTAATACACTAACTTCGCTATGAATGCAATATTGGCAAGAAAACTCTAATTCTCCTTTCAATTCCTTTTGTTATCTGAAAAATTCCCATTCGATATTTCCTAATGCCAAAAAGATTACAAAAAGCTATACCAATACATTTAACTATTATCATGACTAGAAGGTTAGAAAACAAATACCTTAGTAATGAATGATCAAAAAAAACTTCCTCTTTAAAGAAAGGAAGCCTCCAACCTCGTATGTGTAGTAATCATA